AAGATGGAAAGGAGATCTTCTGAGATCCAACCCACTAGGTACCAGGGGCTTCCATGCTGTGTCATGTAGCGCTGCTGCTGCCACCTGGCATGGGGGGCCATGTCAGATGGGCGCAGTGAGAGGGGAAAGGTCACATGCCCTCCCAGAGTCATCCTCAATACATTCTACAGCACATCTAGCTGCCCCACACAGCTCAGCAACAAAAAGTCCTAAAGTAAACAGCTTGAGACTGAGGTTCTCAAGTCTGACTCATGCACACAGGCAAATCCCTCCAGCAATAAAAAACTCACTACCGAGTCTCAGCCCTGCCACAAAGCAGCCACAGGATGTAGCTGACTCTTGCTTCGCTGTGACTGGGAGGACAGGGTATGAGAAAGGGCTGTCTCAGTTCCTGGCCACATTTGAGCCTCAGTGAAGATAGCAGAGAGTGAAGCTCCCCACCTGGGTACTGCTAAGGCAACACCGGGTCCCTGTATCATTATGTCAGTATTACCATGCCATCCCAGCCCAACAGGAGAACCTACAAGACAACAGGAAAATGGGCAAAAGGCATGAACAGGCAGCTCATAGATGAGTAGATACAACCTCCTCCCTCTAGTGGGAAATACAAATCGTAATGAAAGGTGGCAGGGAGCTCCGTGTATGGCATCCACTCAACCTGGCAGGTATGTGAAGGACTTGGGAAGTCCTGTTGGGGAGGCTGTGAGTGGCACTATGAACTGACAGAGGTAGAATCTGCCACAGTCATAACTAAACACAACTGTAATGAAATCATCTCATGGGGATGTGTATCTGTTATGAGGAATCAAATATGAGCCAGCTGAGACATGGAAACCTCCCCACCACCCTCTGTATTCAGAATGGGGAGAGCTTGGGATGGGAGGGGACAGGTGGGACAGATGAAAGAACATCATTTATCCACTGGATTTGAGGAAGAGACAAGGGGGCTGGAGATGTAGTTCAGTGGCAGAGCGCTTGCTAGCAGGGTTAAGGCTCTGAGTTCAATCCCCAGCACAGAAGAAAAAGATGGGGATGGGTGGGGCCGAAGGCCTTCTTAGGCCCCAGAGGCTCTTCCTGTGCTAGGTCTCAGCTGACTAAACATATGTCATACCACACAGAAAGAGTCCCTGGCGCTCTCAGGGAGAGATTCATTACCTAGAGCCCTATTTTACCTGGGCCCTCTACCTGTCTCCTAGGACCTTGTTCACAAGTACCCTTGGTTTTTCTCGCTGCCTATGATCCCAGTGACTGACCAGTGAGTATCTTCCCTTGCTCTTATCCCCAGAGCACTCTTCCTATCTTGATGATCTCACCTCTGAGCCCCTTCTAGCCCTCCAAGCACATCTATCAAGTCATGGACCATGCCACCGCTTCCTGCTATTGGCTCAGTTATGTCCTTCATAACTCACACAGAAGATCTGACCCCCTAGCACTCCAGAACGTGCCTGCAATTGCAGAGAAAGTCTTTAAAGGGGTGGTGAGGTTGAAACAAGGTCACTGGTGGGCTGAATCCATGAGACTGTTATCTTTTTGAAAGAACCATGAGAGTTTGCATGAAGGAAAGGAATGACCAAGTGAGGACACAGCAACAGAGCAGCTTTAGAGCCAGTGGTAAGGTGATTACCTAGTAAGTGCAAGGCCCTGGGTTCCCAGCATCAGGGTGGGGTAGTGGTGGAAGGCCTTATGCAAGTTCAAGAGAGAGGCCTCAGGAAAAAGCAACCCTGCCAGCTCTTGATCTTGAACCCCAGCCTCTGTTAGGAGTTAATGCCAGCTGTTTAAGCTCCAGCTTTGGCATTTTGCTTATTTTCCGTGAGAGATGAAGAGAGTGGAGCTCTCATGCTGGCCAGCAAAGAATCTTGCCCCTGGGATGGACACATGACCAGAAGTTCAGCCTCATTAAAATGTAAGCAGAGGAAGTTCTGGAACTTTTACAGTGCGGCTGAAGATATGCCAAGGCTCTTTCCTGAGGTCTTGAACCTGTTGTGGCCCTGAGGGTACAATGGTCATCTGTGTGTCCCCCTAGCGTTGTTGGAAAACAAGGCAACCTCTGGCCCAGCTGTTCTGAAGTCAGCACTAGTTTTCCAGTTCCTTAGGCATTTCAACAGTCCCCTTTTCACCTGGGTGTGTTGGACTTAGTTTCAATTTCTACTTCCAAGAGGCCTTGTCTGGACATGTTCACTGTCTTCTCAAATCTATGCATGAAAATCCAGGCACAAAGAAGGGAAGGCAGAGCCAGGAAGCTCACGTATTGCAGAGGACCACAGTTGGGATGAGAGGAGCAGGTGAGAGAAAGAAAATCTTCAGCCCTCAGCATGGGGAAGTAGAAACTACCTACCCTACCCTACAATCTACATCCATGCCTATTCTTAACATCCTGAGCTGATGGGATGGCTGCTCGCCATGAAAGACTGCTTTTTGCAGCTTCACTTGCAACGAGTTGAAGCCATGTGACTAAGTTCTAGCCAAAGGGATCTCCGCAGGTGTACAGGATGTCGCTTCTGAGAAGTCTCTGCAAAGGCAATTTATGTGCCTTGTTCAGAGTGTCAAAGGAGGCTCCATGTCAGAGACTTCACCCCTAATCCTAACCCTATAAGGTAGCTCCATTCAGCTGAGGCAATTCTAAGGGTGGGGCTTAGTTGAGGAGCCCCAAATCCCAAACTTGAGAGATAACAGGATACTTGTTATTGTAAGAGAAAGGCTTGACTCATTTGAGGTTGCCATGCTTTGTGGGTGAATAAGTATTGAATAGGGATGATATTTAAGACTCAGCCCATTCTTTGGTAGTCAATGCTATGATCAGAATCTTCCAACAGATACCAAGTCCTAGAAATTCAAACTTCTTAGACTGGGCTACCTTATCTCCTTGCTCTAGCTCCTACTTCCTTCCAGAGAACCCCAGCATCACTGTGTCATGTGTTTCCTCAGAGTTACCTTTACTTGTCCCAATTGGCATGACTCTAACCCAGTCCTTTGTCTCTTTCCAGGATACTGATGGCATCCCTCCTCTTTAGACTGTGGGGCAGCTAATCTCACAGTATGTATCCAGGTGTGAGGGGTGCTAATCTAAGGGTGCCTCCACCCTGGTCCCCTCTGCTACAGCCCAATGAGTATCATCACAGTGTTTCCATGGGTTGGCTACACCCATTCTGAAACAGCAAGCTATAAGAGATGAACTCTGTCCTGGGAGACCCTGTCACTCACTTTTTCCAAGTCCCTTCTGAGCCTCAGTTTACTCATCTGTAGTAAGTTTACTCATTAAGTCCCAGCAAGGCTATTAGGGTTAAAATAATGTCAGAGCCCCACCCTGGGTATCAAGAATTGGAAGAGGGACAGGACATTTGAGAAGGACAAAACTGAAAGGGGACAAGAAAAAGGCTTGGGGTACTAGGATTGCAGAGGCTTCAACTGCAGTCTTGTTGTTGACAACATCCTGTTGCCTGAGCTAGGGTGGTCAACTCCTCTCTCATCTATAAGAAAACCGATTCTGAGGTTGAGAAGAGGGAGATGATAGGAGAGGAATACTCCATGTAGCCAAGATCTAGACATGGAATGCTGGGAAAGGAGCTCTGAAGGAGGGGGTCTGCCTGTTCAAGCCATACTGACCACAGGGCCTACTACAGTCTGGTAACCAAAGACCTTCAGCAAGACTGCCTTAAGGCAGGGAATGATGTAGTCACTGTGAGCTGGCTGGGAGCTCCTGCCCTCCTGGAGTGGGCAGAATGCACTGAGATAGTGTGAGATGTTGGCTGATGCAGAGCCAAGGGAGCAGGTGGTGGGAGGCTCCGGGGGCTTGAGTGTGAGCAGAGGTTTCGTACTGTGGCACTACTGATCTCTGGAGAAGCACGAAGGCCCTTAGGATGAGCCAGTAAGGTGTGTTTAGAAAAGCGGATGAGGCTGGATGGTCATGAAAAAGCCAAGGTCTCAACATCAGGTGGGCAATAGTTTCCTGCTGGCCGGAATGAGTGGCTCTTGAAAAGGTCTTTCACAGAGTAACACCACACTCTGGTTTCTACTTAAAAACTGTTCCTTCCTGCTGGGAGCATTGTGGAGGTGGGACATTCTGGGAGCCCAGGTGACAACAGGGAGTCTGGGGAAGCAACCAGAATGTGGAGGATGTTGGACTGGAGATTTTGAACGTCCTACTGGAGAGCTGGTGCTAGGGCTGAGGAAAGCATTGAAGGCAGCCTTTGCAGCAGAGCTGTGTGGGTGAGCCCAGCCCAGAGAGACCTGTGTTGCCCTGGGCCTCAGGGAAGGTCACAGCGCCGAAATGAATCTGTTGCCATCTTGAACCCCCAAGATGAACACATACAAGTAAGAAGACATCTTTATGCCCTCCCCAACAGTCCAGCACCTCCCGAAGATCAGTGCCATTCTCTACTCCCTTCCCACCACAAGCTGATCATGATTGCTTTGCGAGTAGAATACATGTGTGCAAATGCTCAGGCGTGCATACATACATGTCTTCCCATGCCAACACCCGCCTCCCCATGTAAGCACTAATGCAGTAATCAGGTGGATGGTATCACAGGACTGTGCATGCTGGACCACAGTAGGGAGTCATGGGGACTGTCGCAGAGAAGAGGCCACTCATACCCTACCCTCAGGGGGCTGTATTCTCAGCTCTAACTATCACAGTGATGCCAGTGCACACGAAGTGACCAATAGATCGGCCTGTTTCCCAAAAGAGGCTGGAACTCCCTCCTGTCGGTAAAACATCCCACCTTTAAATTTGGGCCTCATTAGAAAACATGTTAGATTTGCCAGTGAGCCTTTTGGCCATCAGTTGGTGCGTAACTTTGCCTGTAGGCAACAAAGTGACGTGGCTTCCAGCTGCAATCCTGGACTTCAGTGGGAGACCTTAATCCAAGCGGTAAGTGCACAAGATACAGTCAGCAAGGGTACTGGAGCACAGTGCAAGCCAAGGGATCACAGAGGTCTCCTGAGCGCTGACTCTCCTCATAGCCCAGAAGGCCCTGCTCAGGTGTCTGATGATTACATACCCACTTTGAGCTCCTTCCCGAAGACAGTACGCTCTCCCAGCGCTGAGCAGTTCCAGCGGCCATTGCGGAACTGAAACTGACACTCGTCCAGGCCCATTTGGGAGCCTTCTCCTATGACGATGATGGCGTCCGGCCGGCTCTGGCAGATTGCCCGCTGTCTGGGAGCCAGGCCTGGGATCTTGTTACAGATGATGCTCGCACCCAGAGCTACCACCGAAGAGAAGCCACTGGAGGGGACACAGAGACAGGGGTTGAGACCCGGAGAAAGGCTCTGGCTGGCAGGTGCGGGAGGGGGCGGTCTCCTCTCAGCTACTCCGGAGGACCTCCCACAGAGCCACAGTGGGGGAGAGGTCTGAGGTGGGACAGGGCAGAAAGATTTTGGCTACCAATACTCTAAACATCTAGCTGATCACTAGAAAATGTCTGTTCCTACAGAGAGTAATGACACTATTGGACCCAAAAATTTTAGAGAAGCAATTTTCTAGCGCCCAAGTGGGCTGGAAGCTTTTGCCTCAAAGCCATCCTTTGCTTTCTAACCTGAAGCAAGTTCACACCCGTTCTTCGTATCTTAGAGCCTGCACTGCTTAAACACGGGCTTCTAATAGTCTCTACCCGGGAGGTGTCATTTTTAATATTTTTGGAACTAACGGTTCCCAGGGCTAGTGTTGGAGTCATCTGAACAATCCAGGTAAAATTAGAATACCACAGTTGTGCCACACAGAGTAGGTAACACAGGAGCCAGTTTTACCTACTAGACTGGGAAACCTCCAGAGACTGGGGTCCCTTACCCTCGGACCCAGGGAGGAGCAGAGCGGTTCAAAGTCACCGCAACTCTTAACTGGGACCTCCCTCCATCTGCCCCAGAAAGACGAAGGCCACGCCCTCCTGACCTCCGCCTCCCCCCACAGGGTAGCTGGGTCCCTAGTGAGCCAATGAGGTATCCTATCAGGAGGTTTATTCTCTGCTGTTTTCCTTTTCTCCAGTCTTCAGTGTCTCCGCCCCGTTTCTAATTAAAAAGAAAATAATACCTAACACAGCCAGAGCCAATGGGCCCGATCCCGGCTTCCTGGATGCTGGATGAGTGAGTGGATGAGCGTAGGGCGGTAGTGCGAGGGCCAAGATGAAGATTAAAGCAAGTGGGAAAAAAAGAAAAGCCATCCAGGACGCGGGCGAATCAATAACACTTAAAACACACCCGCAGGCAGGCAGCACGCGAGCCTAGAAGCCGCCTTTAGATCCGCGGTCCTGGCTGGAGGCCGCCCAGTCCACTCAGCCACACTGGTTTCGAAATCCCTTTCCAGAGAGGTTGGGTTGGGGAAGTGGGAGGCCTGACGGTGGGGACACACAAAGGGTCTGCCACACACGCCCCCTGGCCTTGGGGCCAGTCCTTCCCAAAGCAGCGGCAGGAGGTTCCCAGGTAGTGGGGGTGTGTAGAGAGGCAGGTGTGAAGCCTACCAAGGTGGCGCCAGCACCTCTGTCCATGAAGAAAGCCCCCCCCCCCCCCCCCCCGACTTCCCCGGAACCGTGCTGCGCACAAGTCACTTCCTAAGTACAAAGGGAAACACCGCGCAAGGCAGCGCAAGCGGTATCTGGAGCCACCTGCTTCCACTTCCCAGTCAGTGTTCCCTGCCCCACCTCCCGACATGCCTGGGCTCCTGGGCTCCCACTCCAGCGACCCCACGGTCAAGACGTCTCGCTACCCTTTGATGAAGCCAGAGGACACCTCTGCCTGTTGTCTCTGACCGTCTAGTGACTGTCTGGGGTCTTACTGTTTGATTCTGATTCTTGAAGGTGCTGTCTTCCTAGCCTGGGGAGGAGGTCTGAGTGAGGGTCGCTGGGAATAATTGCGGCCCCAGGGGCTACGAGAGGTAGTTTATGCTTTTACCAGTGAATGTCCCATTGCTTTCTCGGGAGGGAACCCTTTCTGCAAAAGGGGCTGCGCCCACACCACCGCGCGTGCTTCAGGAGGTGCTGCGAATTCTCTTTAGGGTGGCTGTGGTCCTGTCGGACCTGCTGTGCTCGTGGCTTGCGGGGTGGGGGTGGGGGAGTCCCTAGGGACCCTATGGAGCAGCTATTCTCCTCCAGGGTCACCGAGCTGTCTGTTTCTGGAGGTTCCCGGACACAGAGATTCTTGGGATGGCCCGGGTCGGCGGAATTGTGTGCGCCCCAGGGGTGTCGGCTCTCGCGGAGCCTTTGTGCCCTCAGGATTCCCGTACCGCCCACTGCCCCTCCTGAGCTAAGTTGGGCAGCGCGCCTCCCTCCCGGAGCCAGTCAACTTTGCCTCGGCAGCATGCGCGGACAAGACGCGCACGGCGCTTACCCGATCCGGAGGTAGACTATGCCCAGGCTGAGAAAGAGGTGGCCCAGGCAGCGCCGCGCTTTCCGGGTCATAGTCCCCGCTGGTGGCGGGTGCCGCGGGCCGGGCTGTGCTGATCCCGCCGGCCGGGCCCGGCGGGGCAATCCACATAGCCTGCGCAGGGGGCGCGGGCCGAAGTTCCCTGGGCCGTCTCTCTCGGCGCGTCGGTCCGCGCTGGGCGCTGTAGACAGTCCCGGAGCGCGGGAGCCGCGGAGCGGGAGGAGGGAGGGAGGAGCGCGCAACGCGGGGCGACGCTGCGCGCCAGCAATCGTGGCAAGTGTTTGAGGCGCGGGGACTGCGGGGCTATGCTGCCACCCGCCCCCGCCCCTCCCTCTCCGCCCTTCCCCCGCCCGCCTCCCGGAGCGCCCGCCCCGCGCCCGAGCGCCTGCGGGTCGGGGATGTCTGCCCTGAGCGCGCTCCCGAAGCGTTCCTCCGAGCTCGCGACGTTGGGAGGAGGGGGCACGGAGCAGAGTTGGGGGTTGGGGACGGTGGAATCCCGCTCGCCTGGCATCCTTCTCAAACTCGCAGGTTGAGACCAGCAGGTGCCCCAAAGGCCATCCTCTGGGTGGAGAGAGCCTATAGGCTCATTCCAGAACCCATGCGCCTTGTTAGAGACCTGTCGCACTGTCCAGAAACCGGGAACCCGGATGGTGGCTCCTGCAGAACTACTACCCCACAATTCTTTCTTCAGCCTCCTCAGTACGCCGACGGCACCGAGGGCGAGACGTGGCCACCGGTGGAAACAGAATTGGACTGAGGCCCAATTACCAGTAGCAGAACCCGAGAGTGCGCGCAGGTGAGAGCTCACGGCGCTCTCGCGGCGACACCTGCTGGGTGCGGCAGGTGGTGCATTCTAGTCTTGGGTGTTTTGGACCCTTCCCTTGATAAAACAAACATCCCTCTCCAGAGAGGTGGGGTGGGGATGCGGAGTATACGACACAAAAAGTGTCAGCTGGAGAAGCCAAAGTCGGATTCAAAGTCATCAGCTGGTGAATGGCCAGATTGAAACAAGGTAGCCACAACTCCAGTGAACTCTCCAGGCCTGCTTAGCCTTCGGGACTGCAGTTCTTCATGCGCACACTCACGTTCATTCATGTACATCTATCTTCCTTCCACGGAAGCTGCCTTTTCTATATATGCACACATCCAAGGGCTACAGACTCCAGCCAGGCACCCTGGTGAGCACGGTGGATTCAAGGAACACGGAAGACCTTGCTCTGGGGACAGTGGGGAGACAGACCTTAGTGAGCACATGCATAGACGCACTTCAGATGGCACAGGCTGGTGGAAAGGTCCCCAAGACAGGGGGATGGGAGAGAGGGTTCTGGGTGCTACAATGTTTATTTTAGCTCTGAGGAGATGGCTGGGTTGTCCTCGGCAGGCCACGGGATTGGTAGAAGCTGGGAAGTGGGTGAGACAAAAGCTGGGATAAAGGGAAAGGAAGCCAATGGGGTGGAGGGAAGAGAGGAGCACCGCAGACCTAGAAGGCATATAGTCCGGTGGGAGACGCTGGAGAAGAAGGCAGGTGACTCATTTGGTGTGTGTATTCCAAAACACTCTCTGGGACACTGATGGGGGCTGGGCACAGGGGAGCCTGATGGGCTAGAGAGACTCCAGCATGGGTTCTGGGACAGGTGGGATGTTTGAGCTGAAGAGTTTTGAGTGTACCCCAAGGCTGGCAAGGAACTGGCTGAGGCAGAGAATAGCCTTGAGCTTCTGGTCGTCCTGCATCTACTTCAGGAGTGCTGGGATTACAGACTTGTGTGCTCTCACCCTGGTTTATGGGGTGCTGAGGATTGAACCTAGTTCTTTTTTAATGCTAAGCCAACACTTTCTCAACTGAGCTATATCCCCAGGCTGGGAGGGGGAGGGCTTTCAGAACATGGCCACTACATTGTTCAATCATTTTACCATTGCAAGGGGTTTTCTGTGTCTTCCTGGCTTGGCTCTGGACAGGGCTGTGATGGCTTTCTTAGTGACAGGGAAAAGGTGATGGTTCATGGAGTGGTAAAAAAAATGCACACAGGACCCCTGAACAACCCTAATGGCTGTTGTGCTGTGAGGAAGCCAGTAATATGTAAAGCCACTGCAGCCCACAGTCCCAATTGTGTGCCTGATTGCACTCATCAGTCTTGATTGGAGCAAGGCCCTCCAGATGCTACCAGCCATCCACTCAGTCTTCCTGGTTTCAGGTTTGCCCAGTTGAAGCATTATGGATGATGACCCGTGTGTCACAGTGTGCCCTGTCCACTCATAGCAATGCTCTTGTATTCCTCCTTTGTCTAGTCATCTTTAGACAAAGCATCAGACCTTTGCAGTTTCTTCCAGAGCATCTCCTTGGTGTGTCATTTACAATAGTAACCATTGTCATCTTAGAGCAAAGAGTCATTCATGTCACGGATGTTGGGGTACTCATGACCTGGAAGTGTGTAGGAGCTGTAGTGACAGAGCAGGCCAGGAAAATACTGAGGGCACATGCTAGGAAGGGAGGGGAAGAGGACAAAGTGGAGGAGGAGGAAGAAGATGAAGAGTAGATTGGAGAATATGCCAAGACAGAGGAGTGGATGGAAAGAACCCAGTCTCTGCTCTTTGGGAGCAAGGATCTGAGGACAATGGGATGGTCAAGTCCAGAGGTAGCACTTCCTTCATAGCTGCAGCACGTTAACTCAGGGCCCTCTGACAGTGCTGTGAAGTCCTGTTCTTATCATCACGTCACTGTGTATATGAAAGATGTAATCATGGAGGATTAAATATCCCCATATTCTCACAGTAGGTAGTATATGGTGGAGTTGAGATTTGAACTTGGAGTGCTGGCTTTGGCCATAGCTCTTATGCTACCCCTTTATTTGTGTGTGTGTGTGTGTGTGTGTGTGTGTGTGTGTGTGTTTAAAAGCAGGGTCTTATGTAGTCTAAGCTGGCCTGAACTCAGTGTAGCCAAAGATGTCTTTGTACTGACACCCCTGCCTCTACCTCCTAAATACTGAGATAGCTCTTATGTTTCCACTGTGGTATTAACTTACAGAAGGAAGACCATGGTCACCACAACAGAAGAGACTGTGTTGGGAACTGAGATGGCTGTGTTAGCTCTCTGGTAATATGACAAAATACCTGAGATGAAAAGGTTTTGTTCAGCTCATAGTTTCAAAGTCTCAATCCATGGCCCCTTGGTTCTACTACCCTTAGACCTTTGGTAGCTGTGTATATCATGAGAGGCCCATTCAGCATAGGGAAATGCTGGTATTATGTCAGCTGGGAAGCAGAGGGGCAGAGAGAGAGAGGTGGGAAGAGACTGTGCCCATCCCCTAGTAACGTAATTTCCTCCCATTAGATGCTATCTCTTAGAGCTTATGCTACCTTTAAGCACTTGGGAGGCAGAGAAAGGTGATTTACATGACTCCAAGGTCACCTTGATCTACATAGTGAGACCGTGTCTCAAAACTCCAACAAACAGAAATGTTTCTACAATCCCTCAATGGTGTCACATTGGTCTTTGGGGACGTCTAAGGGTCCCAGCAGTGGCATTGTATCTGGGCTGTCAAGAGCAACTGAGGTCTCTATGGCCAGGAGTAGGCTACCAATCAAATTACAATATGGGCAGGGAAACTCCGTACCTAAGATCAGTGGGGAGCATGTTGCCCAGAGCCTCAACACCCCAGTCTGATTGAAACCAGCTGGGGAAAGAAGATAGCAGAGGTGTGATTCTCTTCTCCCCCTCTCCATTCCTTCCTCCCTCTCTCCCTTCCCACCTCATGTGTTGGCTGTAGTGTGTGTGTGTGTGTGTGTGTGTGTGTGTTAGAGGTATTAGATGCACATTGAATGTGGGCTGTGATTTACTTGAAGGTGCACCCGCTCCTTCCTCTGCATGTAGCTGAAATGCCTTTAGCTCTCTTTCCACCTGGTAAACCTGTAACTCACCCTCCAAGGCCCACCCATGGCTCCACTCACTTGAAAAGCCTGCCTTGACCCACCTGGCTTCTGACCATGACTCTTGGCTCCTTCTTCATCATCCCTTTGTCAAATATTCATCAAGCAGCAAAGGGTGCTGGATGCTGCAGCAGTTAGAGATACAGAGGGCCAGATAGTCTCTGCTGATCTTCTGACTGAGTCAGATATATATCCCTGCACAGGCCCAGGCCTATATCTGAAGATAGCATATTTTATTGTGTTTCTTCCTTGGGCTTTAACCGCCCCTGGGGTGGTCTTGGCAGATCCCTTCCCATCCTAAAAGGTGTCAGCATTCACACTACCTGCTTCTCCATTAACGTCTAATCTCCTCATGCCAAAGGTCCTTCAACTCTGACTACACAACTGCACAGGGCTTATGTGAAACAGGACCACGGCTTGCTGAAGAGATCACATATTTCGGGGTCAGTAAGCCTGGGGTGTGGTCCCAACTCTGCTACTTCTTAAACTCTTGATCCAAGACGGTTTTTCATGTGTGTGTTTGTTGGGTGTGCTCTGCAGCTAGTAACTTTCAGGTCACTTATTTCCTAGGGAGCTGAGAGTTCTGAGGGAGAAATGGAATCTAATCAATCCCAAGATCCAGAGCCACAGGACATCAAAATTTCTGGAACTGACTGCAGAAGTTCTTTGTTGCAGATCCCTGTTAGCCTAGAGTCCCTCTCTCCAATTACAACCTGTACTTGGATCCTTGAAAGGGACATCTCCCACGACCCAGTGGGTTGCCTGTTACATCTTCAGGCAAGCCAAGCTTCCCTGGGCAGGAGCACACTTGACTCTGTGCTTTGTCGCCACCTGCTGGAGGCAGAAGAAATGGCCACCCCAGACCCAGGAATGAGGCAGAGAGCAAGAGTACAGGAAGCCCAACCTCCTCTAGCCTCTGTAGGCTCATACAGGTGCACACCCCAATATACACTCATGCACACATAACCCCTACACACACACACACACACACACACACACACACACACACACACACACACACACACACACACACACACACACACACACACACACACACATACACACACACACACACACACACGCGCGCGGAAAAGAAGAGAAATAAAGAAAAAATATAGCCTTCAGAAAACCTTTTATTAAGGAATTATGTGGAGCTGCTGAGGTGCTGTCCTAGGCAGACCACTGGTAAGGAATGAAGGAAGTAGAATGGTGCTCAGAGAGAAAGCACAGCAGATGTGACAGAGTGGCTTGTGAAGAACCTCAAGTAGCAGCAAAGGCCTCTAACAAAAAGTTGTCCTGGCACAGGGTGATGAAAGCACCCACAACCCACACTGAAGAC